GATATATTTTATACAGATGGTTCGAAGAATTCAGATAGTGTTGGTGCGTGCTTTTACCATCAGGGGACAAAGTCCTTCACAAAATATAGACTAGATAAAGATGCGTCAATATATACAGCGGAAATGTACGCTATTAATAGGTGCGTAAAATATATTGATGAACATAATGTGAAGAAATCGGTCATAATCAGTGATAGCAGGTCTGCTCTTGAGGGCATGTTGTCGTTGGGAAAGGACTAAATGTCATACATGCGATATTATAAAAAAATACGAGCTACGCATTATATGGGTAAGAAGCCATATTGGGATAGCTGGCAACGAAGCGGCGGTTAACGGCGCCAAAGATGCCATGAATACAGGGATTGTTGCTGTGGATGGATTATCATATAGAGACATAAAAAGATTTAACAGAGCAAACATACGGAACATTTGGCAATTGGATTTTCAGTTGTCTATAAGAATTAAAGGTAGATTTTGTGGTATGATACAAGGAAAAATTCCAGCCAAACCATGGTATGACGGATTTACGGAGTGTCGGCCGTTTTACGCTACACTATGTAGATTAAGACTCAATCATTCATACGCTCCGTTCCATCTAAGCAGAATTGAGATCGATATCGATCCTAGTTGCTATTGCTTGGGCGAAGCGACTAGGGCGGATGCAGAGCACATCATCATGGAGTATAAGCGTTGGGAAAAGGGCAGACAAAAACTATGGGAGGAAATAATAAAACAAAAAATCTCCCTTCAAATTAATTTTATAACAATGTTGACAGATATAAGATTATATGGTGCTCTGTATACTTATATCAAATGAAATATACATAAGTCAACGATATATACGTAAGACAAGACTTTAAGATATAGTGTAGATATGATGTAATAAAGTATAAATGTTTAAATAAGATTAACTCATGTATATGGCTAATATACTAGTTTATCAAACCAATAAATCATAAATAATAATAAAAGAAACAAACCATGCAAACAATGAAGAAATAACCAATAAAAATATTAGTGCGCAGTCAAGTAATACCGAAATAAATAATCAGAATAATAAAATGTTGCATGACTTTCACGAGTTAGATAACGTAATGCAATTTGATGATTGTGGTGAGGACTCAAGTAAAATAACAAAAGATAATGCCAAAGAAAACGAAATGATGCCCGACAATTACGAACAGTATAAACTACGATATGACAGTTACGATAAAGGACCATATATATAATATACGTAGAATCTTATAATAATAACATAGGACGCCTGCATCCTATCACACTTGGAATAAAAATTCATGAAGCATGGCCAAATTTGAAAACAAATCTGGAAGAAATTAGAGTGATTGGCAAAAACAAAGTGAAATTGATTTTAAGTAATGGTATGACAGCTAACAGATTATTAGATGATGATTTTTTCAAATCGAATAATCTAAGAGCGTAGATCCCCAAATATTTAACGGTGCGGACCGGAATCATTTTTGACGTTGATAGCGAATTACCTGAGAAAGAAACTTTAGATTTCATCGAATCCGAGTATCCGATAGTGGGAGTAAAATGTATAAGATCAAAAAAAGAAAATCATACGACATACAAATCACATTGTGTTAAACTTACTTTTAAAGGGACAAAATTGCCAGAAAAAGTAGCGATCCACTCTGTTAAATGCCCAGTAACCCCATTTGTGAAAAAAGTAATCCAATGCCACAAATGTTGGAGATTTGGACGTTCGTGATCAGGGTCGTGGAGAGGTTAGATGTCCAAAATGCGCAGAAAAACACGCCTTACAAGAATGCATAAAGACAGATGATTTAAGATGCTGCTTGTTTTAAGATGCCGATACACTGTAGAGTTTTGGGCTAGAGTCGCTCTAGCTAGAGCACTAATAGAGCGCTCTATGTAGAGTCCCATAGTGTACACAGCTACTAGAGCTCTCTAGCGAGAGTCACTCTACGCTCTCCGTAGACAATCTCGCTACACAATTCAGTGTACACAGGGGTCTCTGCACAACTTCCACGCTCTAGCTATTAACTCTAGCATTATTCAACTTGTTGGATATTTTTTTGTACTATACGTACAGTTTTTTGTGTTTTGCTTTGCTAGGTTATGTATGATAGGTTAGGTTATTTATCTATGTGTTTATTTGTGTTCCCAAGAAGTTTTTTTTTTTATTTTGGAAAATGGAAGCATTATGTGATGAAGAACAGTGCGAAAAGTTTGTTTGGGAGAGAAATAAAGTGTTTCAATTAATTGAAATGGTGGAGGATCGTCCAGAATTGTGGAATGTCAGGTTGAAGGAGTATAGGAATTGAAACCTGAAATATAAGTACTTGGAAACAATAGCAACGTCTTTAAATTTGGGTGTTAAAACAGTAAAAGACAAAATTCATAATTTGAGATGCCAGTTAAGTGAGCATTTGATTAAAGTTCAAAAGTGGTCAGGGTGCAGATGAAAGATATAAACCAAAGTGGGAGTTTTTTGAGGCTGTCAAGTTTATGAATATCCAGATAAATTCAACAGAGGATTCAATTGTCAGTGTTGGCAGTGCCCCTGATGTTATTATTACAGATGTGCTGGTAAGTAAATAAAGTAAATTCATATTGTGATTTAAAATTTTTATTGTAGGATACATTTGACAAAATCATATAACAAAAATCATATGACAAAATAAGATAAAAATTAATAAATAAAAAAATCAAGCATATTTATATTGCCACAGTAGTTCACCTGCTCTGGACATAAAGTACGATTTAAAATTTTGCGTACTTATTGCTAAGCTGTGCAAGTTAGATTTCTCGCGCCTGCTTGTTGTAATGGATAAAATGAATTTTGTGAAAGTGGGTCATCTCGCCAACAACCTTCAATAAGCCTGTCATTTTCTTCCATGTCAACAGTACCTTCAGAAACATATCTGGTCGACTTTTTTTCAATTAAATAATTACGTAGCACACAAGCAGCTTGAACAAGCTTTATTACTTTTTGAGGACATAGTTCGACTGGCTTTCTAAGAAAATGAAAACGCATCGAAAGCAAACCAAATGCATTTTCTACTACGCGACGTGCTCGAGAAAGTCTATAACTAAAAACACGATTTTCAACAGGTTGGTCTCTAAAAAGGAATGGTTTCATAATGTAGGTTTTTAATGGAAAAGCGTCATCGGCAACAATGACATATGGCACCGGAATTGACTGGTCACATAATGGCTTTGCTTCGGGTATATTCAAAGAGTTGTTTTCCAAACATGCCGATAGTGAACAATTCGCATATACACCCCCGTCTGACACTCTCCCATTACATCCTACTTCTATATACAAAAATTTGTAATCAGCATTCGCAAGAGCCATTAATACAATAATCTGTGTACCCTTGTAATTATAATATAGACTTCCTGAATCTTCTAGTGCCTTCTTTACCACATGTTTTCCATCAATAGCTCCTATGCAATTTGGGTAGTTCCAAGTAAGATCAAATCGTTGGCTTCATTTTCCCACTCCTCTGATGTACAAGGAATCTGTAAAAAAAAGAACAAATCATTTTCTATCAAACAACAAATAATTTTCATTTGTTATTTTATTTTTTTTAGGGCCATCATGATGAGGAGATAAAAGATAATTCGGGGCCTGGGCAGACTTCTGATACAAAACCTCATGAAAAAGGGCACCCGATTCAGTTAAAAAGGATGATGAGTTGCTGAATGAAGCTTTAATTTGTTTACGAGCTCCGAAAGATCAATTGGACGTATTTGGAGTGTGTTACTGCAGAGTTGAGAGGAATACGCTCTGAAGATAACCGAAAAAAAATAAAACTCAAGATTCAGAAAGCTATTTTAGACGCAAATGAGGAAGACGACATGCGAGAAGTATCCTCCCCCAGTACACACTCTATGCTCTCTCTAAGTAATTTGAGTGAGTACTCCGGTTCATCGAGCACTCTCGTAATATGCCAGATGATTTCTCCAACGCAAAACGAGACTACTTTAACGCAATATTATGACAACATTTAACATTTTCTCATACCTTCAAAAATCATTTTTCAATTCCAATTACAGAGCATCACACACCTCTGGAACAATACGAGAAATAGTTGTTGGTGGAATCCGAAACAAATAGCTTAATGACTGATACCTGTCACCTGTAATATAATTTATTTACAATTAATATTGGTACAATTTTTATAAATAAACAGTAAAAAAAATATTTTTGAATTATTTTAAATAATTGTTTTATACCACTTACCAGTAGCAAGAAATCTCAATGTCAGTGTTAACCGCTCAGACGGTGATATTGATTTTCTTAGGTGAGTATCTTGTCTTGCAATTCTTGGAGCAATTCGTTCCAGCACATGTGCAACTTAATCAAATCCTTTAACAACAAAAATAATCGATTCACTCAATTCATTCCTGGGAACTCCGACTTCTACGAATCCATCCTAAAAAATTTTGCTCCGGACTCAGCCCAAAGGGAAGCCATGGTTGACATTCCTCATAATATAGACAAAGATATCTTCAAATTAAACGCCAAATTTAGTCTAGAAAAACTAAACCTATTTCTGAAAACTAAAAAGGATAGCGCTCCCGGAATAGATCACATTACATATATAATGTTACATAAAACCTTCGAAGGCTTACTAAAAAGAAGACTTCAATACTATGCAGAAAATAGATCTCTATTAAATGATTGCCAGATGGGTTTTAGGCGTGGATGTAGTACAATTGACCTACTGAGTGTATTATCGAATGATATACACATCTCAAACTCAAGGAATGGATACTTACTATTAATAGCCGCAGATGTCCACAAGGCATATGACTATGTGGAGTACAATATATTGATACAAAAATTAAATTGTATGAACCTACCACATAAAATTACAAAGGTTATCATGTCACTGTTAGAAAACAGGGCAATTTACATTAAATTCAAAAATAAGATTATTGAAGAGTTATTTCTACGGGTCTTCTACAAAAGCTCAATTTTGAGTTCTTTACTGTTCAATATTTATATGTCTGACCTTAATACACAAACACTAAATGGAGTTAAAATACTCCAATATGCTGATGACATATTTATATATTGCTCCGCTGCTCCAATGGAAGAATGCAAAAATAAAATCCAAGACTCTCTTATTAAAGTATCAACGTGGCTTAACGCTAATAATTTAAGTCTATCTCCGACAAAATCAAAAGCGATCATCTTTAGCAGACATAGAAATTTACTGAACTCTCTCGTCTTAAACATAGGCAATTTGCAGGTCAAATTATGTGACAGTATAAAAATTCTAGGAGTAACCTTCGATAAAAACATGTTCTTCCAGACACACATCAGAGAAGTGGTACAGAAATCGGAAAAAGGAATCAATATTATTAAAAGACTATCAGGAACAAGATGGGGAGCACATCCGACCTCCCTTATATCCGTATACAAAGCCATCGTAAGATCTCATATTGATTACGGATGTCAGATTTATGAAGGATTATCTTCTAAGAATCAGTATGCCTTAGACAAGGTGCAATTCTCAGCATTAAGATTATGTCTGGGGGTTATAAGGTCACCACCTTGCAACTCCCTTCTAGTGGAAGCTGGCGAGTCCCCAGTAAAAATCAGAAGAGAAATACTTACGAACAGGTTCGTAATTAAAAAGTTTAACTCAGATTACACGTTCTTTATAAAACAACTACAGACATTAGCTGAGCTGCATTATAGAGTGATTTACTGGAAGAATAAACCTACTCCGCCTCTGATAACTGCTTTCTACTGCATCAAACCCTTGGAAGATATGACTTATACAGTTAATTTCCTGCTTTTTTATTGCTCTTTTTCCAAGAATTACATCTCTTGGTGTCAGAAATTTTACATTGCACACAATATCACAAATCATATTCAAAACCTAGATTTTGAAGAATGTTTACAACACAATTATAAAGACTTTTCAGTTATTTACACTGACTGATAAAGATAAGCGATCTCAATTCAAGTTACCTAGCTTTGCACCGGTATTTACAGCAGAGTTAACAGCCATCAATGCGGCTTTTGAGTACGTCAAAAATGAAAATCTCAGAAAATCAATAATTTTTACAGACTGCAAATCCGCCCTTTTAGCCCTGTACAAACCAAGAGAAGATAGAAATTTCTTGACTCTTGATACTATTCACAAAATAAAAGTCTTCCTGGATTCTGGATATATAATTAAGTTAGCCTGGATTAAAGGCCATTCCTCAATTTGTGGAAATGAAGGGGCGGACGAACTGGCAAAAGAAGCATGCACGGCTGTAGTTCTTATGAAAACGACCCCAATAACGGATTTAAAAGGATTAATAAGAACTTGAGGACTAAATCAATGGCAAAACGATTATGACCTAGAATCGACTTCAAGGGGCTCTTTATTTAAACCCTGCAAACCCCAAGTCACATTTAGTACCTGGTTCAGTAAACTAAAAATGACCAGAGAAGACATTTCCATGATAAATAGAATTAGATGCGCTTACACCTTTTGTAGGCCTCATTTATACAAAATTGGACGAACACAAGACCCCTTCTGTTCTTGTGGACCAGAATTTCAAAAAATAGACCACATCCTTTGGACATGCTGCCTATTCTCAGAACAAAGAGAAGAACTTTTGCAAGAGCTATATAGGAACAATATAACACGGCAATTGCTATGGCTTTGAACAAACCCAATATTTACAAAATTATACTGAATTTTCTACAAAATTGCAAAATCAGGGTTTGATATATATATATATATATATATATATATATATATATATATATACTAGATGACCCGACAGACGTTGTCCTGTACCCAACTCTGCATTTTTTTCAAAGTCCTGTACTAATATTCACCGTTCAGTTAAAATTAATAATTATTGTTTTTCGAATTACTATTTACATCAATAAATGAGTGAATGTAGAACTGCTTCAAATAAAATGATGATTCTCAATTCCCACAGTTAACACTTTAATTATCCCTTTAACAAATATTAAAATATGTTCAATAAAATTATATAATAAAAATTAAACACTGCAATTTATTTCCAATAGCTCAATTCATTTTAATGTCAAGGGTTATACAATTTTTTAGTCATACCTGTAGGTGTGGATGTAAAAATGAATGATTTTTTGTTTATTCACGACTAAAATATTGACTTTCCAAATGTATCACACAAACAATCATCGCCTGCCTTTGTGGTTTATAGCATAATTTACACGTGTTGAAAATTGAACTTTTTTAAATGGTATAACAAATTCAGAAAGAATTAATAAATAGCATTCCCGGTAAAGGTACAATATTACATTGGTTTTTTCTACCCAAAATAATGGCTTCAATAATGTTGCCTATAATTTTTATATATTTGTACCATATTTTAACTGGATTTTAGTAATTTTTATATCTAAATTACATTTTTCTCACTAATAAATTTATATACATTTTTACTTAAGTTTATATTTGAAGTGAATTAATTTGTCAAATCCTGTTCACATGTGCTCTATTCAAACTACGATCAACAAAATTGCAGTAAATGGAGAGGAAAAAAACGTGTGTCGGAAATAGGCTATTCTTAATCTTAAATTCAGAAGTGAAAACAATTTGCACTCCGTCACCACCCACCGGATTCATTGAATTATAACTCTTTTAATTCTGATTTTATCAATACTTGCAATACACTATTTTAAAGGTAATTAAATGAGCTACAACTTTCTCTATCATAAATTTTACCGCAACTTCTCTTATTTTGAAATGGCAAAGGATTGAAGGACTCGAAAGACATTCTACACTATTAATTTGTGTCACAGAAAAATAATAAAAAGCAATAATTGGTCAGTAAAAGACCTTGAATTTTCATTTATATACCTTTATACGTATCTTTTATTTTTTTAAATAGATTTTTTTTCATGAAATCATGAGCTTTTTGGAAATCCTTTGCACTGAAGTTGATTCCAGGGGGAGTACGAATATTTTTAATTTTGGTGGAAATGGCACTCAAAAACTATTCGCTTTAAACGAAAAAAATATTGTATGCGTCTTTTATCTGCATGATAGCTCACTCATCTTACGCGCAGAAGTACTAATTAACTTCCCGTAGGGTAAGTTATTGTAATGGGCCGAAAATCGGAATTGAAAATTTTTACATTTCTCGACGTTTTGAAGGTTTCTGAACATTTTGGCATACCTCAGAAAAAATGGATGTGTGTGTGTGTGTGTGTATGTATGTATGTATGGATACAAATTTCCAGTCACGTTTTCGGGCGCACGGATCAACCGATTTGAATGGTTCAAAAAACATTCGATTCCTATTGATAGGGAAAAGAGCTGATTAGTTTTTGGCAAAGGCAGGTCCAGCCGTTTCGGAGATACGGAGCAAAGAGTGCAGAAAATAGAAATCGACTTTTTGAGAAAACGGAGTATCCGATTTGAATGATCTAAAAAACATTCAATTAGTAATGATTGGGAGAAGTGTTTATTAGTTTTTGGCAAAGGCAGGCCCAGCCATTTCGAAGATACGGAGCTAAATATGTAAAAAATGGCAGTTTTTGAGCGAACTAAGCGTACGATTTAAATGATTCAAAGAACTTTCTGCTTGTCTTAACAAAATAATTAATTTTGGAAAAAAAAAATTGTACCAACTTTTGTACAACAAAAGCATATTGATCCAACACTATCTAAACTAAGACCGTCAAAACGTTGTGCAGTTTGTAACAATAATAAAAAACGCAAAGAAACAACGTGGAAATGCAAAAAAGTGTAAAGTTCTCCTACATCTACCATAATGCTTTGAAATATACCATTACCGTTACCGATTACTTATTTTGTATTTTAGAGTTAACCTCTTTCCCGGGAATAATGTGTATAGTTTGTGACGATGTACAAGTACCATCTCAGTGCGATTGCAAGAATATTGTGTTTACATTGCGGAATTTATATTCAATTCATTGGGTATTATAAAAGGTCGAATAACTTCTTACATAGCTGCAAATATCCAGTTACACATTTTTATTTTAACAAATATATCTTAAAGAAATTATTAAATATTGAGCACTCTCAAGTTGCCATTTATTAGATCCGCGGAAGACCATTTACAGTTGATACTCTCCATTACGACCACAGGCCAAAAATTGAGCACATTTTACTAGACATCCACTAACAACAAATAAAGCAAAATCATCCAACCATAATTTTTTTGAATAAATGCTATTTCATTCCTCATCAATTTGAATTTCTAAGAAAATTGATCAAACATTGAAATGAACTCTTTCGGCACTATCCAAGCTAGATTAATTTTTCGCATAAAGTGTTAAATATCAATCCTGGCAATATTTCAATATAGTCGCGAAAAATCTCACCAATCGCTACAACAAAATAAACCGGATACATACATAATACATACACACACGCAAGTATCAGAAGCTTATTTATTTACATCAGTGGAGTTAAAAAACTCATCTACCATTCGGCATGACAGTATGCATAAATTTTGCATAGTTATCTCTTTTCTTTTACCTAGGTATGACTTTTCTATTTATTACAAACAATAATAAGCCTACTTGATTTACTACCGTTCTAATTACATGAAGTTATCGGAAATTCCGATTCATCAGATGTCATATGTCATATGTCACGTGCTTAACAATAGGCCTTACACTATCATAGACATTACACTATAATATAAGGTCTATGCCTTATAATATATAAACCGATTTTAATAGGTGGATTAGATTTTATGTACATTTATTTCACATGAGAAATATTATCAATATCATTTCTTACAAATTTTTCAGCCGGCACAGTAGCCATTATATTATTAAAATAAAACTATCACGGATACTGTTTGAATTAAATTAACTATTATGATTAATATTATTAATATCATTTCTTACAAAATTATCAGCCATCACAATTGCCATTATATTATTGAAATATTTAAGGCGAAATTTTCGGAATAAACAGAGATAATCAGTGAAAATTTCTGTGCGTACTTCATGGCACATTTTGAAAATTGCATGACACTTTATGAAGAAATATGTATGCTAATAAAAGAAAATGTAATAAAACGAAGGTTGTTACTTTTTAACATATTGCATAAAGAATACTTAGATATGTTCAAAGAATTGAGTGGAGTCTTAGACGAAAAGTCCATATTGACACCGTAATACCTTGAATAAAAAATAATAAATTCAGTGATGCATTAAAAACATTTGATGTCCAACAACAAAAAAGTTGTTGCTCCAAAAAACGTCTCAATCATTGATTCATTATTTGAAGGACCAAGACTTTGCAAGCAGCTGCCGCCATTTTATGATAGAAGATTCTGGGGATAAAACAGAGGAAATTACCTGATTTATTGACAAGTGAACGGCTGATAAAGGTGAATGTGCAACACCACCAATGGTTTCTGAATTTTTATCTTTAATACTCTAAATGAACTCGCGGAAGATACTAATCAAATTGTTCCTAAGAATCTTCACGATCGAATTGACACTATTTGGAGTCAAACTTTTAGCTTACCAAATACTCCAATGTGGACTATTTTTATTAGTAAAATTACGACAGATGATTGTCCATGCCAAATAATTTAGTATTTAACACCAATTAATGACTCACCAACAAGTTACTCTATTGTTTTGGCAACTATGGAGCAATGTATGTCTGTATTGCAAGAGCTAAATCATGCAAGTAACATATGATTTAGCACTCGCAGAGATTACTTTACAGCTACAAGCAACAGAATGTAACTCCTTTGAAAAAATATTTATTCATTTGGGTACGTTTCATATTAAGATGAAACTTATTTTAAAGCTATTGAAAAAGTAATTAATAATTGTGATTTAACAACCATCATGATTGACAGTGAAATGCTTGCTAGTGGATCGGTTTTAGGTTTCATTGAAAGTAAGCATTTCAACCCAATGATGGCTTTAGGACTTCAATTATTATATTTCAGATCTTATCTAAAGATATTTCAATCGCTAAAGATATTGAAATAGAACTGGAGAGATTACAAAGTTGTCAGGCATCTTCATTTTTTATTAATAGTAACAGCCTGAAAAAAACTCTGTAATGACTATGCGATTCACCAACAGCAAACGTTAAATGTAAATCACAGCAAAACTTCCCAATTTTATATGAATTATATCAAACTTGTATATTATTATTCACGATTAAGCAGGAGTATTCGAGCTGGTGACTTCAATTTATATCTTGAGGTTTTGCCAAAAAACGAACTTATTCTTCGTTTTTAACCATGAAAGTTATGCAAGGCGGACAGTTCAATATCATTACAATTTGACAAAAGTATCAACTACTCGTCCTGGTTCTGAGCAAAACTTC